TTCTTCCAAGGTTATAGAGGGCTTAGGCTCACCATTATCAGGACAAACTACCAAAACAAACTGATAAAACACTCCCTCCTCAGAAAGTTAGTACAATGTTCACTTTATTCATTAAAGAAATACAAAAGTATAATAATTCTGTAATCCCATCACATAAGGTAACCTGGTCAGCAGAAAACAGACTGATGAGGGTGTTTCTCAGACTTGAGCTCTTCTATTAGATTAGCAAAGTTAAAAGGAAAAATTTAGAGATCATCTTAACAATTATTGTCATTGCAGTGTTACAACAAAATTACATTAGGCCATCAGTCGACAGTGCAATTTATGAGGAATAAGATCAACAAGAGCATATTTGTTGTAACAAGGCACAGCGGCAGATATCAAACAGGAATAAAGATTAAAAAAAAAAAAAAAGTGTATGAGCAGAGAATCAATAGTAACCAGAAAAAGATGTTGTATACTTGAATGTGCTGCAGCAATGCAAAGTCCAGTCACAATTTTGCAATGTTTGATAATATGCATAATAGACAGATAAAGTAGATCAACAATAGCAAGGAAACGGGGAAAGCCACAAAAACAAGGATAAGGCAAACAGTCACTATGAACCAGAAAATGTGTATAATTGTTGTGCAGCAGCTGCAACAATGCAAAGTCCAGATTACGGTTATTGTAGTTGTTGGGTAGTGTTAAGTGAGTGGATTAGGTGAGAAGAGGTAGCCGGGGATGGTGCTTATTCAGCAGTCTAACTGCCTGAGAAGAGGCTGTACCTCCTACCCGATTGAAGCAGGCGGAACAAGCTGTGTGCTGGTTGGAACCGATCTTATATGTCGGTAACACTTTACAATAAGGTTCATTAATTAACATTAGTTAATGCATTTACTAACATGCACTAACCATGAGCAATGCATTTGTTAATCTTTGTTAATGTTAGTTGATGAAAATCCAGCTGTTCATTGTTTGTTCATGTTAGTTCACGGTGCATTAACTAATGTTAACAAGATTTTAATCAAGTATTAGTAAATGTTGAAAATAACATTAACAAAGATTAACAAATGCTGTATATGTGCTATTCATTATTAGTTCATATTAACTAATGTAGTTAACTAATGTTAACTAACAAACCTTATTGTAAAGTATTACCTATATGTCCTACGCAGTTAGACGAGTTGGATAGTCAAGTAGGCTTTTAGACTGGACCTGGAAGAGTGAATGAATTTTCACTCTCCAGCAGCTGACACCAATCACTGCAAAACCCTGGATGGGTGTTTTCCGAGTAAAAGCCTTGGATTTCTCCTCGTTTTCCTCTTCCAACATAACCTAGAGGATTCATAAGAAAATTGTGACATTAATATCCAAATTACCTTAATAACAGGACACATGGATGCAGCCACATGAATGACTATTAATTCCATGTTGTCATTAAGCACATTTTTCATAATTGATACACCTGGTAAGCAGTTCTTGTAAACGTCATTGCAGTGTCTGCAGGGCTGCAGTGTGTACATCTGATAATACTCTTGATAAGTCTTCCTTCTCCAATTTGTTACACCTGAATATTTCAATTTGAGGAGCATAAAAAATGAACACGATTAAAAAGGGAATAATTGAAGACATGTTGACATAGGCTACCAATACATTTCTCAGTTACCATTTAAACCACATTTAAATCAAATGTGTAAAAGTAAATACATACTGTCAAGCCAGCAGAAGTGTGCCCTCCTCCTAAATGAGTCTGTATCCACCAGACTTCTGAATTTAGAACAAACTGAAGACAGATTCAAACAATCCAGAATCCCCCTCCTCAAGGACCACGTGGAGTAGAATTTCAGACAGGACAGCGTCCGGCAACTATTGAGTGTTACAAAAAACAAACAAAAAAAAATTAATACTACCATTGTCAAAACATCATGACCTAACCTCCATTGGTGCAAATTATGCATCCTATTAGTGCAGTGCAGGTAATACCTGAAAACATTTAATTCAACAATAATATGTCATGAAGCTTCAAGCTACTATGATAGTTTGTGAGATAATAAAGGCTTTGAAATCTGTTAAATCTTTGCTTCTGTCATATTGAATGTACTACTACCATCAAGATTTCGATGTTCGGTACTTGTCCTGCCTCCTCTCGCTCTGTCTCTTCACAGACTGGCATGGCTGATGTGCGCTTCCTCTTTCTAAAAACAAAAACAACATGCCTTTCATTACCAAACATTACTTAGAATAGGTAAATAAAAACTATTTTGAAACAATATAAAAAACTATCTATACCTTCCATGTGTCATTTTTGACAGTAGCAGATTCACCCACCACCGCCTGATATGGGCCATATCATTCTGAAAAGCAAAAGATTAATTTTAAAATGGATGTTTAAAATGTCCAAAAGTAATACCTTTCCTAAAAATATTAAGAGAAGGGATAGTGCTTACCTGGTTAACTTAAAGTCAAAACACCATGTACAGTGCATACTGTCAAACAGAGAACACATTTTAAAGGGTGGTTGATTATGAAAATTCATAAAAATTCAAAAATACGATTTTTCTCCATTGACAGTTGAGATATATCATAAAAACATAACCATACATGGCAGACTTAAAACCAGCTAATTAAATCTTTCGATCGGCAGGAGCAGGATTGAGCACACCTGAACTAGCTTATTAAACTAAAGCAGGCACAGATACACTGTCTCTAAAAAGTTAAAATCCAATTTATAGAGCAACAATTATTTATTAATCTGATTCATTCACGAACTTACCAAGCCAAAAGCCGCCGCCATTACTGAAAACTCGCGGGCCTGCTGTCTCTTAACTTCAAGGTACATGTGATTGGTTGCTGCTACGTTGGAAAATACTGATTGGCTGCCACGACCTGGCAGGTCGCTCCTAATTTGGTAGGGCTTCCGGCTGTCAACGGCAGCTACTTTCTGCTGCCAGTGACAGCTACTTCCTGCTGCCAGCTGCCGATTTTTCGCTGAACCCCTACTGGAGAGTATTTTGACAGAAACTTGAAACTTCTCAATTGACATGATGATTTTACTAAGGATGGAACACTTGCAAAAGCCAGATCGAGATGTTAAAGTAGCCTAATAAAGATTAAAGTAATAAGGAACATAATCCTTAAATTATAATACAATGTGTTTTAAAAATCGAAAATATTTAACAATAGCAAATAATTACAAACAATAATTAACAAATAATTTATGTTTTGGATATAAATGTGCTTCTTTCAAATAATTCGTATATTTGTTGAATTTTATTTAAAAAAGGCCTTGTTTTGTCATGCTTGCCTGTCTATGATCTTTTGATTTATTCCATAAAACATTTGAAGGGGTCAAGCCACAATATAATCCTTATATTAATCCTTATAATGATTAGGCCTTGCTTTGTTAGCTCACATCTTGTGGTGAACAATTAATCTGTGTTAATAAATAAATGTTAGTAAACATACACAGAAAAAAAGTCCTGGTTTTAGCATCTTTAATGGAATGCCGTTCTTTTGTGGATTACTTCACTTTGACGGCTTGGGTAGAATAGGCAAGGCGCATCTCAAACGTGCCTAATATCTCCCCTCCAACTGTCAGTCTATGACAAGCAAGAGATGGCTGATGGCTTCACTTCCTGTCTCCTGAGATAACGTCATCTGATCGATTTTTGAAGGCAACATAGATGTATCCTTCACTGCCTTTGATATCCACAATGTGCATTCTATTCGGTGACAGTTGAGCTAAAAAATAAAGACGGCATCTGAAAGTTGCGGATAGTTGCTGGTCAGTTTGTGTGTGGCTACATTTTTGACCAAAGTTTTCTACTTCTGATGACATTTCTAGTGAAAAAAAAAATAATAAAATTAAATATTTGTTTAGTTCTCACCAAAGCTCACTTTTTGGTGTAGATGCTACGTATGCTAAACTGCTACGCTTCTTCAGAAGTTTGAAATCATGCCTGATAAGGCAGCGAGGCAACCATAATAATACAATAAGTGGAGACAGTAAGCACATAAAACAGTTCAACATGGAGATAGATGGTAACAAAAAAAAAAAGTTTTCTATTCTACTACCCCTGTTTTCCCCTTACACATAATTGTGTAATTTACAGAAATGTATTTCCTTTTATATATGAAGAGTTCAGATGCAAAAGCCTCTAAATGCCATTTGAAATTTTCTTCTAAAATGACCATTTTTATCAAGCTTGTATATTTAGGTTCAGTAATTTCACTTAAATGACAATTAATAGGTAATCTTCATTGCCATTTAAGTGAAATCACTGAACTTAAATATACAAGCTTGATAAAAATGATCATTTTAGAAGAAAATTTCAAATGGCACTTAGAGGCTTTTGCATCTGAACTCTTCATATTCAAAATGACTTGCAGATTAGCAGATAGAAAAAAATACTTTGCAAATATTTTGACAGTAAAAGTGAGGCTGCAGATCACGTGTCACTAAACCAAATCAGTGATCACGCTAGACGCAAGGTGCTAGGTGTGAGATTGAATGAATAACTTTGAATGTCAAGGCTAAGGGGGGAAAAGTAGATAGCCTATAGGCAAATACAATCTAGGGTTTTAAGGTCAATTTGTTATGTGTTTTCTGAAAGGTTAGTGTACTTACTGTACCAAACAAAGAGATTCAATGCGAAAAGGAATTTGTAGAGTAATATTATTGCACAAAAAGAAGAATTGAGGCCAAATCTGCTCACAATGTAAACAAAACATAACAGAGTGATTTAGACATGAGTAGGAATAAAGAGGGTTTCATACAATATTGCAGGAAAAAAAAAAAAAAACGCTACTGCTTACTTTAAGTAAAATCACATACAATGACTGATTACCTATAGGCTTGACTTGGATAGCCAACATCATCAAACCTAAGTGCTCCAAGACATGCAAGGATGGAAAAGTAAAACACACATTTTGACGCTACCTTGAGTTTCAATTGGATTTTTTAGATATTTATTTTAGATCAATATGATTACAAACCAGACTGACTGACAAGTCTAAGTATTCATATGTTCCAAATGACTTAAACCTGAAAGAGGTAATTCTCCAATGTGTACAGGTGCCTCTCTTTGTGGGAAAAGTGTTTGGGCAAAATGTAATGAATAGCAAAGTGTGACTGCAGTCTTAAATTCCAAGACATGAAAACAATGGGTTCTCAAATGAACAGACCATGACCACCAGGGTACATTTTGGTTTGGAAGTTTGACATACATTGCTGAGCACTATAGTAAAACCTGTAAGGCTAGAAAAGGGGGGCTTTCACCATTTTGTGTATTGGCAGTTACAATTATACAAAATGCGTTAGATGGTTATTCAATATCCACAATGGGCTTTCTTTATTTATCTAAATCAAAAAAACATTCAATCAAGTTCAAGTAGTAGCACTTTCTTGACTTCCTTTACTGCTATGATGATTAAAAATGTATAACCGCTGTAACTTTATATTACAGTAGTGTTCTAATATAACGTAATTCCAATTTGGCTCTAAAAAACTTTTTCAGTTTTTTTTTTTTTTTTTTATTTTTTTTTTAAAGAAGATAGCTTGAAATTTTTTCTCCAAGGACAGAACCAATTTAATTGAGAATTTCATTGATTTCATTGAGACCAAGCTTCATCTGGAACTTTCAGAAAAATCTGGACAATGTTTGTAGAAACATGTTTTTCTTGGAGCATTATGAAGTATTTTTGACACATCTCAGCCTTCAACCTGGCTCTCCTACTAAATTGGACAACTGTGTTGAAGTAACACCTCCTCTCTCATCAATCAAGAACATCTGACGCAGGATAACGTCTGTACCTTAGGGCTTCTGTTAAGAAACTGGAAAATTTTATGGAGCCATGGGTAATATGGATAGAGCCAGATCCAAATCCTTAAAGAGATTCTGTTGCAGTCAGCCAGAGATTTCACTTAAGATTTATTTTCCATAAGGACAGTGGGTCTCAAGAGAGTGATTTGCGCGTAAAGAGAACTTCCCGAAAACTCTTCTCCTGATTCACAAATACTTCCTAAACGTCAGATGTGATAGTGAAATGTGTGTGTGTGTGTTAATGAATTCCAACCAGTGATAAATGGGATGCGCGTCCACGTTCATTCTCAATTAAATCAGGCCCATTGTATCTGACTGACATCTATATGCATATAATAACATGAATGCGAATGAAAAAGAAAGATTTCTCGGATGCAGAAATTGAAGTTTTATTATCAGAAGTTCATTCAAAATGCCACATTTTATTTTCAAGCGTAGGCATAGTGGCGCATCAGGTCCTAAAAAGGAAGCTTGGCAGCATATTCAACGCATTCTCACCCCAAGGCGTCACCTTTGACCATGCTTCAATATTTGACGTTTTAGGCGCCCTTTAGCGTCACTTACATGACGCGATCCTACGGCGTCATCTAACTGACGCTAAAGGAAAGCGTCTGTTAGAGGACGCGGTTAGGTTTAGGTGTTGGGTGGGGGTAGGGTACACGCGATCCTAGGGCGTCATCTTACTGACGCTAAAGGGCACCTAAAGCGTCAGATATTGAAGCATGTCCAAATGCTTCCCAAGGCGTCAGTTAAGTGACGCCTTGGGGGTGAGAATGGGCTGGCATATTATATTACAGATGCAGTTAATGGAGTTTCATCTGTTAATCGAACAGTGCCAGAAGTGAGAAAAAAATGGTTTGACATTAAGCTTGACAGCAAAAAACGAATTAGTTCACTTCGGAAAAATCGTATTCAAACTGGAGAAGGACCGCCATCGATCACCAGATCTGCTACTGGCTCTCATAATAAAAGTAAAAAAAACGTATGTAATTAGGCTATATAAAATATTTTTTTTTCAAAATGCTGTTAATGCTGTTCAAAATTTGATTAAGGTGAATTAAAATGTAGCCTTATTAGGCCTAATGAGCAAAACGTTCGGATGTTAAGCGCATCATAGGCCTACGCGTGGCTGGGAGCAGGTGTAGATTTCAACTAACATTTGGAAAATACGAACATGTTAATGAACCCGAAAATTTACATCAGAACCATTTTACACACGATTTACACACAAATTCGTTCTGCTCGTGTTTCATGAATGAGAACCAATGACCTTAAGCAAAAAGTAAATAAAGAAATCGCCGGCAACAATAGAGAAATGCAATATTCTGAAATGACACAGACATAGGCTAATTCAAATATAGCTAATTGGGGGGAAATATGTAGAATGACCTGAAAATTGCAGATTGAATAAAATCTTGGTACAGTTACAATAGCGCAATTAAAATTGAATATTGGGGGTGGAAAATGAAATATGCAAAGACTTAATGCTGTAGAAATGAAAGCTTTAGCAAAAGTTCTGCTAGGAAGACTTAATTACTGCGTCACATAATTACCTACAAATCTATCCAATCACGTCCTTATTCTTACTGTAGAGGTACATTGAGTTTGAGTTCGCAAATGCCGACGGGACAACAACCTCTATCCTCCCCACCACCACCAAGATGGTACTTCCCGGGGGGGTCGGCTGCGCCCCTTCGTCTTCAGGCAGGAGATGCTCATCCGCCTCGGATTATGAACTATGGACGGTGCCTACGCCAAAGAACTTTGTGAATAATTAACCTACTTTTATTATACTTAAATGATGCTGTTTAGTCAATTTTTGAGCTTGACCAAAACACCATGGTCACCATTCACCTTCAGAATAAAAAGAGCCTTCCTTACATCTATTTTGCGGTCCATGGGGGGAAAATCATTGGCATTTATAGAAAATTAAAGCAGAATTATCCTTTTTGAGCAAGCTATCCTTTAATACAACAGATATCAGAGATCATCTTTGAATCACACAGATGACTTAAATAGCAAAAGTCCCAGTTTTATTTATTATCCTCTGATTGTTGAAGAATAATTATGGAGGTCAATTCACAAACACATGCACATGCTCTCAGGGGACTTGTAAATGTCACAGGCAATCAGTTCTTGGGC